GCCAAATTATTCATGGAGATTCTAAATATCAGTTTGTTTTCAACTTGTACCTACTCTTTTTACTTTTCAGCATGGCATGTTCTCCAGGTCCCAGTGTGAGAGCAGTGTATTATTTATTCATAAAAATTGTCAAAATTAAGATCAGCATAGATTTTGTGACTTCACTCACATTGTGGATGATATTTTGTTAGTAATCCTTGGTAAAGATCTCTTAAGGTGAAATTGTCATATCTGTTACTTAAAGTAACAGAATTGCTATATCTTGACTACTTGTAGTCAACATTATGGGTCCTTTCTCTACATATGGCACCCATGGGAATATGATGTTTTCTTTCCCTGCAGAGTATTTACAATCTAGTGAAAGAGAGAAATGTGTACACAGTTGTGCCGCAAAATAATTATCTGTGTTGAAAGATAAGCATAAACAGATACAGAAGTATTGAGGAAGCTTTTACTGGACACTGGTTATGTCTTATTTGTACCTTACATTTATGGAATGCATATTAGGTGTAAGCTCTGTGTTTCACTTACATTGTATGATTTACTTTTAATAGCAATTTTGAGATAGATATCATTCTTCTTATTTTCACAGATGAGCAAACCAAGGCACAGATAGTTTAAGTTAACTTGCCAACTTTACATAGCTACTACTAGTGCCAGAGCTAGGATTGATGCCGGTGTGGTCTGATCCCAGAGCTTGCTCTTAATTGTTTTACTACATTGCCTTTCACAACTTCATATATTTCTGGTCTTTAGGGTCTTCTACAAATTTTGTCTCAAAACCAGTGTGTTATTGATTGTGTTTTCCATCCTTTTCTTGATTATTGTGGTTCAAAATTCTGTGCTGCTTATTCTAGGGGCAATATTGACTGTTTCCCTAGACCTGGTGTCTAAGGAAAACTCCCCAGAAAACCTGTCTCCTGCCTAGTTTCACCTTCACCAGCTGCCAGTTTATCATAAAACAGAGATCTGGTGATGTTATTCTTTCACTGAAATCCCATCTCAAACAAACACTCAGAATGCTTTGGGGGCTTCCTTAAAGTTATATAGGATAAGATCCAGGCTTCATATGGGAACTTTACAAATTGGCCCTGCCCTACTTTTGAGACCAGTTTCTCTTTGGCTCCTAAATTTCCTCTGTACCTTAGCTACTCCAAACTGTTCCCCTTTCCCAGGTGTTTATCCTTTTTTGCAGTAGGTGTTCTTCCTCTGCTGGAATGTATTATTTCTTTCACTCTTAGGTAAAATGGTGCTCTCGTTTCATTGTTCCTGTGGGGCATCTCCTTTCCTGACCTGCTTTTCTTTGCAGTTCCTTCAGTTCCTTTCGCAGTTCCCAGAGAACACTCTGACTCTGAAACAGTGAGCCCTAGGAGGGCAGGGATGACTGTATTCCCAGCATGTGTCAGGCACATTGTAACCCCTCAGCATCTATCTGTAATAGAGTAATATCACATTCCAGTTCAGTTATGTGTTTATCTTTCAGGTTCTGGTTACATTTTAAGCCCTTTGAATATGGTAGCTAAGTATGATATAGTAATTATGTATATTATATATGTCTTTACTTTTTTCCTTCTGAATCTAGTTCAGTTTTTAGGATAGTTTGTGTGTTAAGTAAGTGGTTGCTGAATTGAATATTTGTTTGCATTCCCATGTGGCACAGACGTGGGGGAGGAAGAAGAGTGATGCAGCTGCTTTGTAACAATACCACCTTTCCCTGCTGGAATGATTTCCCTGGGCAGGGTTATGCCTTTAACTTTTTTCCATACTGGCCATTGAACACAGTCCTCCCAGCTGCCCTTTACCCCTCCTTCCCTCCCTCCCTCCCTCCCTCCCTTTCTTCCTTCCTGCTGATATGGAAAGTGAGTCCACTGAGAAAGGCACTCACAAGAAAACCGAAAAGGCATGAACGAACAAAGGTTTATTGGAGGCGGCTAACAGACAGTCTCTAACCTGGTGCCAGAGAAGATGTCCGCCCCGATCTGGGACTCACCTTCAATTTAAGTACATTTTAGGTTTCTGTAGTAACCATTACCTCATTTTTGGGAATCTTACAAGAATGTCACACAATTATCACAAAGTTTACTTCTCCCAGAAGGTCAGACCACAGAATTCCAAGTGGTGATTGCAGTTCATCTTTTAGCCCACTCCTCAATGTGTCCTGTTTGTTCTGTTTCCATTCTATGACTCTGCTCTGAGTTGATAACTAACCGTGGCGACTGGGGTGAACTACAGCTTAAGCGAACTTTAAGTGACTTCGGTAAATATAGAGTTAAAAACAGAAAATGGAGTCTCTCTTGCCTTCTCACTCCCTCCTTCCTTCCTTCCCTCCATCCATCCCTTCTTCTCCCTCTCCTTTTTTATTCTTTCTTTCTCTCCCTTTTTTTTGGTCTCACTAAATTGCTAAGTCTCGCAGGCTGGGCTAAAAGTTGTGATCCTCTTGCCTCAGCCTCCAGAGTGCTGGCATTACAGGTGTGCGCCACTGTGCCCAGCTAATTTAACTTTTCTCATGCCGGATTTCTACTGAGAATTCTTCTGAAACTTTCTAAATGTTCAGCTACTGAAATAGCTAAGATATGACTTGAACATCTTGTAGAAATGATCAGCAGCATGGTTCCTGTCAAAGAAGTTTTCACTTTTCTTACAGCTACAATGAGCTACTGTTTATTATTGACACTTGCCAAGGAGCATCCATGTATGAGAGATTTTATTCTCCTAACATAATGGCCCTGGCCAGTAGCCAAGTGGGAGAAGATTCCCTCTCGGTAGGTACATCTCCATCTGTAAATGCAATGTTTTGGAATATGTAGCTATTTGTGAAATCACTGTATATACTTTATAAATATGTATCTATTGAACAGAGAAGGAAACTTTGTATTTTAAGCCTTTGTTTTAGTGATACCATTTGCTATATACTTTTTTTGTTGTTGTTTTCATAGCATCAACCTGATCCTGCAATTGGAGTCCACCTTATGGATAGATACACATTTTATGTCTTGGAGTTTTTAGAGGAAATTAATCCAGCTAGCCAAACTAATATGAATGACCTTGTAAGTAGTCACTTCATTTGATTTTGTAACTCATAGGCATGCTAACCTTAATGTGATTATGTGAAGTCTGCATTCCTTGACTTTTGTGAGTACTGTTTCATATGTTGAATTATAGCCTGTGGGGAACCAGTCAGACTGCTTCAAAGCTCAGGGGTGTCTAAGGACACTAGAGGACATGACCCTGCTTGTCTAGTGCAGACAGGCGCACAGTGGGATACAGTTATTTAACATGACTTAGCACAGGTGAACATGCATTTATTGGTTACAGCACTGTGTAAGAATGTAAACATGAGATAACAGCCTGTATAAGAATTACGCAGTTAGCACCGAGGTGGCTCTTGCTCTTGTGCTCTTGGGTTTTCCACTCTGCTCCATGCTGCCTGCTGTTGCTGTTGATGTCTTGCACATGTGTGTTCTTTAACCTTGGGACCTCACCCGCGAAAATCTCCCTTGGCCCCCCTGAGTGGGCTGACAATGCCTTTGAAACTGTTTGACTCTGCCTTTATATTGTTTCTCTCCTTATCGTAAAAGGTCAGAAGCTTTAGCCCAGTTCACTTACTGTTCCGGAGGTCACTTTCTGTTTTCATTCACCTTTTGAAAGCTGCTGCTTTTTCCCCCTCACATTCACCTTTTGAAATTCTTTTTTTTCCAGGGATCAAACTAGATTGTAGCTCCTCTAGGAAGTCTCCCCAGATTCTTCACTGTTGGAGTTTATTTTATCTTATCAAAGCTTCCACTGAACTTTCTGTCTGTGGTAAGGTTTATAGTCTATCATCTTTTACTGACCTTACTAATTGAGTGGAAGCCTTTTCTCTTTAATGGGAGACTCTGGAAGCGGGGACCTTACCTTACATATTTTTAAGGGTCCTCTAATGTCTAATACAGTCTTTTGAGATGGCTTGTTAAATTTGGTTCAGTATTTTTTCCTGTTTTTTTGTGCTCCTTGTATCTTTTAATCACCTCAACACTGAAGTTGCATACTACAAAGCTTAAAACAGTAATTCTGGCCTGGAGAATTATCACACGTCAATGACTTTCACTCTTTTCTGTTAATTTACACTTTGTCCCTTACAAATGTCACAAGCATTTCTTGAGTGTTTGGTGAGTGCCATCACTGGGTATAACCAATAAAAGAGGCAGATACTGTTCCTGCTTTATGGTGCTTAGGGATGAAGGGGAGACTGAGTAGACAAGGCTGATTCAACCTCTGGGCTTCAGCCCAGCAGTTTTGCACTGAACTCTTTGATTATACAGAAACCTTTTAGTAAGTTTTCTTTTACTAAAGGGATTCTCCTTGAGAATTCTGAAAGCTACAGTTATAGGCTGTCACATTTGATAGAATACTTACTAACTTTAAAGATTGTTGGGTGTGGTGATGCACACTTGTAATCCCAGCACTCGGGAGGCTGAAGGCAGGAGGATCCTTGCAAGTTTGAGACCAGCCTGGGCTACAAAGTGAGCTCAAGGCCAGCAAGACCCTGTCTCAAAAATAAAGAAAGAAAGAAAGAAAGAAAGAAAGAAAGAAAGAAAGAAAGATTATATATTTTGATACCTCTTCAATCTTGATATAAATTCAATTCAAACTTATGATATAATATTCAATTAAAACTTGTGATAATGCTACTTTATAAAAATTATAGTTACCTCATTTTTAATTAATTTAAAAGTTTACTTTCATTTTGCATTTTACATATTTATCTAATGAGTGACATGTCATCTCAAGAGTTTAAAATATATATATTGTGTACTTTAATGTCTAATAGAGTAAAAATACTTC